TCCGGCGTAGTTTATAGACCAAACCGAACTGAACGAACGATGGTTTTAAAACTTATTTACTGGTACTTATTTATCGGGTATATATACAACCCCTTTTGTTTGCGCTTAGCCAACAATTGCAATGTCCGTGGGTGGTTCACAATTTATGCTAATTGCCATTGACAGTGGACAAGTTAATAGCTCGCAAACTACTGTTCGCTGTTCCGCTTTCCGCTTACGTTTTCAGCTCAAGGATGCAGGATGTGGACTGCCGGGCTGCCGGATGCCAGATGAGAAAGTTCGAGATGCCAAAACGTAATGGAGACCCATTCGCAGATGGCTTTGATGCAGCGAATCCTTTGTTGGTGACAACCTCGAACTAGTTTACGTCAAACTATATTCAGCCCCCGAAAAATGTATATTACAATAAAAACACTACAAACAAGAGAGAACGCTATAGTCGGGTTGTTGTCCCGACTATCTAATACCCGTCACTCAGCTAATTTTTGATTGCGTATAACTTTTTAATGAATGGTCCGATTTGAAAAATGTCTTCTACATTTCGATAGGTATAAATATACACAATAAAATTGCATTTATACTTCTCGGAAATCTTTAAAGATGTGGGCGCAGGACCCATTTTAAAATCGTTAGTGGGCGATTGTGGGCGTTAGAGGGGGCGTGGCGCTCGGCTAAAATAAACTTGCGCTGCGTAGGAAGCCAAAGAATATGTGTGGGAAATCTCAACCTTCTAGCTTTTGTAGTTTCTGAGATCTCAGCGTTCATACAGACGGACAGACGGACAGACGGACAGACAGACAGCCAGACAGACAGACAGACAGACAGACGGACAGACGGACATGGCTAGATCGACTCGGCTAGTGACCCTGATCAAGAATATATATACTTTATGGGGTCGGAAACGCTTCCTTCTAGCTGTTACATACTTTTGCACGAATCTAGTATACCCTTTTACTCTACGAGTAACGGGTATAAAAATTGGAAACGAATTTTTGGGATGTTTTCCACTGTGGAATATTAATATTGTTTTTAAACACATATGTAGTTGTAAAAAGAAAACATGATTTCTTCCGCACTTATTTTAATTTGTATTTCTCTAAAACTAGTTAAGGTTTAGAGAAAATTAAAAACTTTTCAGACTTTTTTTCAGATTTTATATATTTAAATTCGATTAAACTTAAATTGGCCTAGAACGTCAAGTCTTTTTTTACAAAACTCTTTTTATTAAAATCAAATTAAAAAATACAATTAATTTCATTAATTAGGTATTAAACTTTGATTAACTTTAAATTGGTCTTAAAAATCCTTACAAAAGTGATGTCTCAGTTAATTACTAGTTTGGTTAATATCTCAAAACTTTTATATTTTTTTCCAAGTGCATCTCAATCCCTTACCAAACCCCAGCCATTGTGGAAAATAACCCCCGCAAACCGCCTTCATTATGCCAGTGTTCATTTGGCTGCCGCTGATGCTTTTGCATCAGTCAAGTCAAGACGAGTCAAGTCGACTTGAGTCAACTCGACCGCGTTGTCAACTGTCGCAGCTGTGAGCAACCCATCCCCAAAACCCCTCATCCCTCCCAGCGAAAAGTGCCCCTTTTTTGGGCCCAGCAAGTAGGCCATTTTAGCATTTTCTAAGCCTGGTCCACAACTATATATACTGCGAACAGAGAACTCGAGTCTCGACTTTCAACCGGTTGCTCCCGTGGGCAGAAAAGTCACGCAAGGACTCGAGACTCGCCGATTCTCGGCTGGCATTTACATGCTTGCATAAACCTGAATATTTAATGCCCCCGGTTACCGGTTCCGTTTCCCAACAACTGTTGGCTCGTTATCTTTGTGTTTGTCAAATTGAATGGTAAATATTTGAAAGGCGGCAGTTTTGTATTTGTCCGGCTGACCAGGGATAACTAATGCAGTCGATGAGTTCAAGGCAATTCTGAATAAATAGCCCAAGAATACGGGTGCTGTTTGCAAAGCAAATTAAATAAACTGTGAAAAAGATACACATATCACTTTCAGTAATAAACATTTGAGGTATTTAAATTTTAAAGCTGTAATAAATAGTTTAACTCTTAATATTAAAATGAGGTCAATTTGTGACATGTTAATTAAGAGACCTTGTTTTGTAAAAGTATCAATGAATTATGATTTAATATTTATTTGGAATTTAAAAGCTTTTCATCATAATATATAAAAAATTGTTAACACATGTCATCGATGTTTATTGATGTTTTTGTTATAAGCTTAGTTATAATCTTTTTTTAGATTTTACCTTTCTCATGGATACAATTTTAGTTCTAGCTTTAGTAGTTAAATTAGATTGTTTCTTATATTGTAAATTTCCCTGCCAATAAACTAAAATTGTTGCTCTTTTCATTTGTCGTTTTACTACCTGAAGCAGGTAATTGCATTTGCCATTTTCGACTTGGCTAATGAGCAAAAACTGGTCCTGGAATTGATATAAATTACACTAATTGGTTGCTTGTGTTGGCTTTAGCAGGATGCGCCGTACGCCAGTTGCCAAGCAATATAGAGTACATATATATTCTACATATAAACCTAAATCAAGCGCCCTAAACTGGCAACAAGTTAAGAAGACTGGAAAGTCTCCAAAGCTGCTCGACTGTCCGTGTTGGTAATTATCGGAATAATACGTATACGTCCTGTTGCACCACGACGTCCACGACGACGACGATGACGACATGTTAGTGTCTCGTGCTAAATCGCCACTTGTGCCAGTTGCATCGCCATTTGCCTTTTGTGCGTCAAATTAACAACTTCCGCATGAGGCCACACGAGGCACTTGCACCCAAATGCGTCATTTTCTGGGCTGCGTTGCTGGTTGCCTTTTGTCTGCCAAGCCTTATTGTCGGGTCGGCTTCTTGGCCAACTGCCAGAGTCTGGTCTAAAACTGGCTGAAAAACTGACGAGACTGGAGCCGACAGGGCCTATTATTGTGCTTTAATGGCAGCTAAACTGGCGGGCTATTTAGCCAGAAGAGGGAGAGAGAAAGAGACACGCCTCCTAAACACGCCCTAATTAATGGCATTCTTTAAGTTTTCCCCCCCTTTTGGGGTTACGGGGTTTCGGGTTTTCCCTTTAACGATTGTTTGCCAACTATTCAATACTCAATTTCCAGCCTTTAAATGCCTTCTTTCCGCTTGGCTCAATGTCCTTAGGGAATCCGAATCCGAGCATCCGATCGATATGCAATATCCTTGCTCTCGACTCAACTTGCCAGCCAAAATGCCAAACATTTGCCGTAAAAGTTGTGAAAAATCTGTGCGCATCAAGTATGCTTCAAACGTATCATTTGAATCTGGCCGAAAAAGGGGGAAAAATGCTCAGACATTTATTTTATTATTTCTTCTTCTAGCATTTTCTTTTTTCTTTTCTGGGCGGGAAAACTCATAACCGAAACGAGTAGGGAAAAACTTTTGGGCTCTTACACGGAACAAATTAAGAGGTCTGTACTTGTAACTAGCAGTTGGGAAGAAAATGTGGGTTCTTAACAATTAAAGAAAAAGTAACTTTGTTAGGATGGTAAAAGCATTTTGAAGTTTCGTTACTTCATTTGAATTTATGTAATTTCTTTAATTATGAACTTGTTTAATCATTCCAATAATAATCTTTTAATCATATTTAACTAGATTTTTTACACCATTTAAAACTTTATTCAAGAGCTTAGTTTGAATTTTTATAAAGTTATTAAAAATGTTTAACATTTTATTAATATTTTAGCGATTTAAATAATAATACTTTGAACATTTTTAATAATATTTTAAAAACATTTTAAAATTGTTTTCGAGAGTATAGCTAATATTTTTATTTATTTAATTCATTTATTTAAATTTAAACATTTTACTGCGAGTAAGAAAATGTTGTAATGATATTAATATTATTATTAAAAGGTAAAATCAAGGTATACCTTAAGCTTAGCTATTAAAATGATACCGATAGTTTAAGAAAAACTTGGATAAGATCTCCATAACTCACTAAGTGTTTCGAATTTTTTCTGTGCATCAAAGTGAAAAAGGCTGCGCAAAGTTCTTGTTCAATGAAAAGACATAAAATATTTGCTCTATATGGCTTTTTGTGTACTTGTGTTCGCGCGTCTAAGGCGATTTTCTTAACTTTTGGTGCAGCAAACAAGAGCATTGAACTGGCTAGAGATTCTGCATTTGTTGGCAGCCAATTCCCGGGGGTATTTTCGGGCTTGGCGTTTTCGTCTTCGAAAAAAAATGGGGTTAGACGAAGGATTTTTAATTTCTTTTATTTCGCCGACCCGCTTTTGTCATTGGCCTGAAAATGATTTGTTTCCTACTTTTGTTTTCATTCGCCTCTGTTTAATGCCAAGTTTATGCTAAATTTGTGGCTCGAGGGGGGAGAGAAAAAATGAAAAGGGGTGGCCAACTGGGGACCCAAATTAACTAATGATGAAAAATTCCCTCCTTTGTGCTTGGTCCAGTAATTTACAGCAGAGGTCAGCATTATGGTTTATGAGCTTCTTCTTCTCAGTTTGGCCCAAATGAAGTTGTCGTTCGGACTTACAGACAGACGAACTGAAAAGCCACAGAGCAAAAGGCCGGCAGGCATATAGCACAAACAGATATTAAGTATACGCCCCCCGAGACCATTTCCTTTGGCTGCTAAACGTAAACCATAAACGTATATGTAAATGCTAATGCGTTTCACACAGGCGCACACAAAAACCAACACACACACCTACACTCATACATATGTTTGTACTGCATATATAGGATGCATTGCTCATACGCCCTGTTGAACACTGAAGAGCAATCAGGCGCTTGTAAATATTTCATTTATGCACTCGGAACTTAATTTCGGGCTAAACTATGTATCTCAATTGTAAATGGAATGAAATCATACTTACCAGCAAATAACTTATGCGCATATTTGCACACAATTTTAATGTTTATATTATACAAACCGAAATCGAAAGAATGGTTATTAAAATATTAATCATGTTGCACTCACCAAGTCTACGTACTACAGATGGAGAGATGTGAAAGAGAAGCGTTTGGTTGGTTGATTTTTGGTTGATTTTTTGGTTAGTTAGTTGGATTTTGATGATGGCATTTTTCGTTATATTTGATATATTTGTAATGCAATTTTGTACAGATTGAGAGCGTTCCAAATTCGTCGAATTTGTTGGGCAAGCATCATGAAATGATGAGTTTACGTTTTAATATATAATTTAAAGGAAAGAAACTGGTTAGTCGACGAATTTACAAGTTGCTTAAAGGTGTGTGTGTGTATTTATATATATATTATATATATATTATGCTATAGAGTGTGTCGAAATGACGATTGCATCTACGCTTGGCTTAAATCTAGGCTAAGAGTAAGGCGCAGCATGTGTGGTTGACGGCATGCAGAGACATGGGCGGTGGCGGAGGGGGATGCAAAACGGTTAAGCGAAATGTGAAACGCTATTTATTTGCCCCTCCTGCTGGGGGAAGGAGTATAGAAGGGGGTTTTCTGGGTATGTATATGTATGTGGGGATTAAACTAAGTATGTCAACTGCAAAGCCAGTAGGTCAGGGATAGTGGTCCTGTTACCTCTCTGTGTGATTGGATTGGTACACTGATAAAATACATAATAGTACAAATAAATATATGCATATTGAAAGCAAAGATTCGTTGACAATTTTTTAATTAAATAAAAAACGTAATATTTAATATTAAACATATTTAATTGCTTGATTTAGTTAGAAAATATTTAAAACAAGGTGAAAAATATTCAAGTTGACGTTAGTCATGTTAACTTTTAATACTTTAAGTCATTAATAAATATAGTTACTTATTCAAATCAAAAATTAAAATATTTAAACAAACTATAATTGTAAAATATATTATTTTCTCATTTAAAATTAGTTAAACCCGCAAAAAATATTTAGATTTAATTTTCAATTTGTTTTAAAATTTTCAAATTATTAATGAAGAGAACTTCATCTTCAAATAAAAGTTTAAAATATATTTAAGTTAACGATAATTTTTAAATTTAATATTTCATATTTAAAAATAATAAAAACCGCAAAAATATGTGAATTTAATATAAAGTCTTTGGATACACTACTTTAATTTTTAACCAGTGTAGGGGGATGGGGTTGGGGTTTCAACAGGGGGTCTTTCTCTGTTTTTGGCTGCCCCGCGACACACTTACTTTTCATGATCCGATTCCTGTACTCATCGTCGCGCTGCATGGCCACACTGCCACCGCCGTTGGAGACCATCGAGCTCACTTGTTCCATGGGCACAATATCCTGCAACAGAAAAAGGATAAACAGGAAACACAAACATGAATACGAAAACTTCCATTCATCAATCATCTATACACCCGCCACATGTGTTTGTGCCCTCTGCTTATCGGCAGAAGTTATGAGGGAAAAAAAAAAACAGAAAAATATGTGGCAAAACTTAATTAGGAAAAGCGGAAAAATTGCATTTATTTTCAGCATGTCCTGCGGCCAAATAAATTTCATAAATTTCTTTTCCATTTTTAATTGTGTGCAGCGGCAGCAAAAATGAACTAGATAAATTGCGGCTTTTTTCCTGCGCTTTTGTTGAAGTGCCAACAAAGGCATTCCATTCCATGTTATTTTTTTGGTTTTTTTCCTGGCACTTTGACTGGTTCCAGCTGCCTGGACAGGAAGAGCCGAAGAGCAGCTGCTGCTCCTGCCCAGCCAGCCGTGATATATTCCCCCGGATATATGTAACTCTGTATTGTGTGCACTCAGCGGACTGTGCCCCCAGGGGCGTGGCAAAGGGGGATTTGCAGGGGGCTTCCTGAGTAAAATGGATTATGCTCGGCTCGTTCGTCGACATTTATTAATGAATTTACAGGATTAGCGTGGTAATAAACGCATTTGATCCCCCGGTTAGCGGATACTGTTCGTTCGGATTAGCTGGTGAAATGTTTTGTGTGAGTGGCTCTCAGTGCATTTGAAAGGATGTATAATACAGATAATATTTCACCATGATTGCCTTGATTTTAAATGGCGAGAAAAAGGGAAAGGAAAACAGAAGATGTAATAATTTATCTCTATCTGGATGAACTCGAAACTTTATTATTTTTCTCTTTGTGATTTAATTTTACCCACAGAGATAGCTTTTAATTTATTCTTAATTTAATGGTTAATTATACAGCTAAAATTAAAGCCTATATGGTGTTATAACCAACAATTAAAAGCTGGTGTTTAATTTATTCACTGAAAAAAAAAAGGGATAAAAAATGTGAACTTTTGTAAAAAAAATCCAAAATAGTTGAAAGCTCATACGTATTAAAATTAATTCCCAGGCATACAAATATTAATCCAATCATATTTCGCAATAATTTCATGGATTTCAAATGGATATGTTCTGTGGCAAAGAGAATAGTATAATGAGAAATAAGGAATAAATATAACAATGAAAAAAGCCAGCGAAATAATTGTCCTTTGTTTATTTAAATTTCAAAGACCAGAAGTTATTTTATTATATTTTAGCAAACAACCGTTGATTGATGACACAAAATGAATACCAAATTATTCTTTATTAATGCATAAGGCTTAAAGCATTTCGTGGCGATTGCATTAGTTTCTTGGTAAAATACTATAAATAATAAACTTTTGCAAACTAATGCATTTCTAATCATAAATTCGCTGATACCCAATTTAAAATGTATTATAATAAATATTAAACAGAATAAACAATGGAACTTAATTCCAACTAAATAAATATAAATTTACATTTATCTCAATAAACTGCAATCTCTGTTCTTTTCAGCTGGACGATGATTTGTGTGTGCTGCCCGAGTGCTGAAGTTTATAATTTATTTCAGCAAATAATAGTTTGATTGATGGCCCAAAATGAAATGCAAATAGATTTAAAGCCGAAAAATCTGGGGCAAAAAAGCAAACAGTTTTCCCTTGGGTGGCGAAGATGGGGAAAATCACCACTGTCACTCAGAAAAAACAAAAGTCATTTGGACAATGCAGTGGAAATGTGATACCCAGTCCCTTTTGGCCATGCGGCTGAAAAAGCACGTCACGTATTCGACATGTATAATGCGCAATTCAATTTTGATCTAAACACGCATTATGCAGCATATTACGCATACGCCATGGTGCCCAGCCCATAAAACAGAAGCAATTTAAATGCATGGCCTCCAATGCGGAGTTCCGCCTGCTCACCGACTTTTCCCACATTTTTCGACTGTCATATTAACGGCCTTTGCATATTGAAAATGTTTTGCCTGCAAAATTTGTGACAAACTTTCGACGACACACGAGTCGTTGTGAGTTTTCCTTTTTGGCGTTTTGGCTCCCTGCCAGCAGATACATATCTGCCATTTGCGGATGCCGAGGACTATAACCAGGAGTTTGTGTCCCCGGATAACTGAGAACTGAGAGCACTGAGCACTAAGCCAACCGGTGAGTGGCTTTGAACAGGTGTGTGCAGGTGGCAGTTGGCTAGAAAAGGTTGAGCGACAGGTTTGGGCTTCAATTAAAATGTTGCCGAAATTGCTTTTTGTTTGGCAAATAAACTAAACCTGAATGGAATATCAACGATGTGTTGAAAATGTGGTGCAAACAGAGGTACTACTGAAATTTTTAAAGGGTTAAAACCAAGAGCTGAATAACATTATTTTACCACTCGGAAGCAGGCAAATAAAACATGCATTTGCAAATTTGTGGGGCCATAAATTCTTTAGAAACAAACCATATAAGATAAAATGGGAATTTATGAAACGAAAATAAAAGCGAAATGGTTTAATTTGCAATCGGAATTATGGCAAAATGTATATATTGCTAAAAACAAAATTGTAAAATGGAAAAGCCATTAAAATTAAAAAATTAAATAACAAATAAAATACACTTTTTAACTAGGCTAAAAAAAAACTTATAAAATCGAAAAGATTTAAAGAGTGAACTACTTATGTAAATGTGACAACTATAAAACACGTTCTTCATCTCTAGGACTTGCGAATTTTCCGCATGAATACTTCTGCCAAATCAAGTTTTATTTCACCACAAAGTCGCCGCAGAGACTTGTGTGCAATTTGCATAAATCACGTGGCAAGACTCGGTAACCCAAATGAGCTTTCAAAGTTTTCAATAAGAAGCCGTCAGCAGATTTCACCTTTTTGCCACCTTTTCTGCCACCTTTTCAAATTTCCCCTCATGCTCTCATGTGACAAAACTTTGCCATTGCATGTCGGTCGCAGCATCGATTTCAATTTGCCAAATTGTCGGTTTCGCCCGCTCGGATTTAATTAAATGCAATTTCGCTGGCAAGGACATGGTGAAATGAAATTCGATGTCCGGCTTACATTGAATTTTTTATTCGCAGGTCAGAGCCTGTGTGCTCTCTATCGCGGTTTTTCCTCCTCGTCTTTTTTTTTTGTTTGAGTTGCCCAGCCCGGTCAAATTTAAACATTTTCATTTACTTGTCTGTCGTTGGCCTGGTCGTTGTCATCCCTTTTTGCCCCCCGCCGTTCTTCCATTTCCAACGGTGGTGGCCTCTGCTACTTTGTCATGCAAATTAACGGGTATATTGTTGCGACATCGCGACCAAAAGCCGCAGCTGTAAGTCACACAAAGGAAGGTCCTTGCAGGATCCCAACACGCATGTGAGTTCACTGAGAATATCAGTATTATTTACGAAACAAAAATATGTTTATTAAGAGAAATTCTAACCTTGAACTTGATAAAAAATTAATTAATAATTTTAAGGTGTTTTTTTTAGAAAATGTGTCTAAAAGTATGCAATGAAAAAATAAATTTTTATTTTGGAATGAAAAGTTACAAGTTGTAAAATTGGTATCTTTCAGGATTAAATTGATCCCCAATTTCCTTAGATTTCTTTCGGTGTTTATCTTTATTCGGGGGAGGCAGGCACTATATGTGTTGGCCATAAATAAGCCATCGACGGGATTAGTGCGAGCGAAAGTTGATGGCCTGTACTTTACCGCATATGCATGTATGCTGAATAATTAATTTTTATTGATCGCGATTGCGTACTGACACCCAAACACCAAAGCGGCATAGGCACAGACAAAGAGGCTTTGTCTGTGGGGCATAAAGGGCTTGCGAGGGCTGAGATCCGAGGGTTGGGCGCCATTGTTACCAGTGTGCCGCATAATTATCAGCACACACTGTTGATATACTGTCTTTACGAGGATGTATGAGGATATACTATGGATGTGTGGGCGCACTTGCCGCTGTTTACCCAATTGTATCGCGCTAATAAAGCTAATGTGCTCGCTAAACTGTTGGCCATGACTCGTATTTGGCCCAGATGACCCTAACCCAACAGGACGTAACCCATCCAAAGCCAACCCAGTTAAAGCCGAACGAGAAGTGCGCTAATTGCCTTTCAAGTTGTTGACTGAACCATCCCATTTGGCTTTCCCTTTGCGTGCTGGGGCTTTTGGCTTGGCCAGAACAACTAAGTAGTGTAACGGCCAACTTTCAAGTGGTGGCAGCAAAAATATCGGAGAACGAAAGTTTGAGTGGGATGCCGGCTGAAGACGTAATCGATGTGGCAACTAAACTAAAGTCACTTAAAGAGTTCATCATTTAATTAAAAAGCTTTTTGGATTTTTAAATTAATTTAACCAGCAGTGTGTATTTGAGAAAAATCAACTGATGTTCCCTAAATCTTAAACTTTTGTAAAAATTTTGAAATTTAATTTAAGTCTAAGAAAAATCAAATGGTTCTATGATTTAATTAGACAAAAATTAACAATAAATAAAATAAAAGCTATATTTTCTCCCTTTCCTATCAACTTTAAATTTGTATGATTTAAATTTAAATTCATGAGGCAATGAGGATTAAATGTAATTAATTTGGTCGTCATTTAATTCAAAATTAATAAATAAAAAAAGAAAAACCTACATTCCCGCGAACTTTGAATTTAAATGACACAATTATCGGGTTTAATGTAATTAATTTAAATAAATATTTACTGTAGTGTAAATAACATTACTTTAAACAATCGCGGCTATTTAACTAACCCATTTGAATTTGTTGATTTTTCACAGCAAGCCTTGAATTTAAATACACTTTGCCTTTTGTGATTATCCTCTACTTTGTTTGCGCTGCAACCATTGTGCATACTTAAATAGCGCAAAAAAAATGTGTAAAATATGTGAATGCAAATATGCAATCAGGTTTAAATCCACATATTTGATTTTCCTCCGCTGATCTGGTTTTTGACCCCGAACCACACTTAAGCCAAAGCCAAAAGGCAAAGCCAAGGGCCGTCAAAGCCAAGTCAATGGCAAACCAAATATTTGGAGAAAGCTTAGGAGACAAAGGATTTGGGATCTCAAAACTGGGCTAATGCCGAGCAGGTGCCTCCTTCATCTTCATCCTCCACCTGGGAAACCTTAAGCCAAATATTCGCCGTAAAACAAAGGCAAAATGCGAAAGTGCAGTGTGTAAACTGCACGGCACTCGACAGACAGCAGCGAACTGATTAAATATCCGGGACGCAATTCAGCATCCCTTTTGGCTCAAATGTACACTCAGCATAATGCGGATCCATGTAGGGAAATGTAATTTGAACGCCAAAACAAACAGCGGGCCGGGGAGCCGTTTTGAAAGGCTGCCAGGAAGTTGGTTGGGCAGGTGCTTGGGCTAAAAAACAAAGGCCGCCGCTGGATATTTACCCAGTGAGCCATGCCAGTATGCAGCTGAAACAGCAGGAGCCCCAGTATAGTAGTATAGCTTTTCCAGCAGCTTTTCCAGCTGCCGCTGTGGGAGCACAAAACAAAGCCTTGGTAAACAGCCCAGCAATGTGATTAAAAAATAAAGGCAAACGGCACAACAATGGAATATGGAGCACGGACCCAAGATGTACACGGCGGGAAAAGGACAAATGCATTTCGAAACTTTTTTGTGGGTTTAAAGGTCGTAAAAAAACCCTCGGATGGCTTTTAAAAATTGTACTTATTTTTAAAAATATTTATTTATTTTTTAAAATATTTAGAGGTCATTAAGACCCTAAGATTACAAATTGTATTTTAATTGAGAAATAAAAAATAGTTTTTAAATGGTTTTGGGTATATTTGAAGGTTAAAAAAAACGGAGAGATGGCCTATTAAAAATGTATTATTCTTAAATAATATGAATAACATAGATTTCTTGAAGAACATCATATATAATTGTTCGTAGTGTAAAAGTAGTTTATTGCCTACTTTCAGGCACCAAAAATTGAGTTTTGATATCTCAACAGGTTTCTTTATTATTTAATTTTCTGTATTTCTCTGGACTACTAAATTATTTTTGTTTAAGATATAGTTTATAACTTGAGATCCAAATGTTAATATAATAAAGTCTGATACTCAATAAACAAGTATTGTACAGCTGTAAAAACGTTTATAAAATTCTAAAATTTTTAAAATTTAAGGCGTTTTTCTCAACAAATATTTTGAATTTTTTTTATTTAATTTATGGAGATTTTCAAAATAGTTTAAATCACTTTTTAATATGAAAATTACTTTTAAATATTAAAAGCATCTTTCTGAAATCTAAACCCATAATATTTGTGGTATTTTCTTTATCTGCACTTTGACGCTTGTGTAGTTTAAAGTAGATGGTTATTTTTGAAAGAGTAACTCACCTCGTAGCGTGTGTCGATTTCTGGCAACTTCTCCAGGAACTCCTCGACCATCTTTCGTTGCACGTGCGCCGAGCAGAGCAATCACACGCATACACACACCCCCCTTACGCACTCACACACGCAGCCACTCACGCACACTGACACACAGATACAAATAGTATTAAAATTGACACGCACTAAATGAAAGTTTCTGCTTATCAATTATGGACAACTACTAATTGCTGCCGTAGGGCTTAATTATTTTTGTGGTTCTTTGGCATTTGACAATGGTTGAAGCTGAAACACCTGTTGTTTCTTTTTTTTATATTTTATATCTATAGTATTTGCAAGTCACACACTGGGAAATTCGTAGGTTGCTGTCCTTTTTGTAGAGATTTTTTTTTTGGCTGAAGATCTAAGATAAATCTAAGGTTTTTGCACTTTCCGTTGATGTCTACTAGTGATTGTCTTTTGAAGAAGAAAAGGGGGTTGCTATTTATTTCTGGTCACTTGGCACTCGATTTGGGCGGTAGTTTTAGTTACACAGTCGAACAAACGAAGATACAAAGATACAATATTTCTTTTGGGGAAGCGGAGAGGAAAAGAAGATGAAGCTGCAGCGGAACCAAAAAACATGTGCCAGAAGCTGAACTCGGACTGCTCTGCCTTTTTTTCGACCCCAAGTGTGTGTTTTTCGAGAGACCAACAACGAAGAAGCGCTGTCCGTTCAACTGCCGTTCAGCACTAACAACAAACTGCAGAAAAACAAAACATTTATAGCCAGGCCAGAAGAACGACGAGGACGAGTCCTCTTCGTATGCCCATCGTATTGACGAACGCCTCGGCGGAGATGATGATGTTCTAAAAACAGAGTGAGATGAGGCTGCTGTGTGCCGAAAATTGAAGGCAGGCAGCCCATCGCCTGGCCGATAAAATGGAGGCGAAATGAAAGCGCTAAAAAAAGTGTGGCGCGCTTTTAGGCGCCGGCGCAAACTGAATTTCAAGGGGCAACAATATTCCGATTGTGACTCCACAGAGAGTCCCAGTATGTATATGGAATTCCGGGGAATTCCCCTCTCCAACTGACACACATTCAACTCCAGAGAGCTTGCAATCCAAAAAAACAGCATCAGCATCTGTGGATTGCAATTCAAGTGCCGAGAGGAGTTGCATGTTGCATGTTGTGCCGTGCTGTCCCTTTGTTTTGCCAGCACTTGGAAATAATTTGCTGCTAACGAAGGCGGCGCCACTCAAAGAACGTCTCCTTCTCCAGCTGAAGGACCCACTCCTTCCACTCTATCTATCTGCATTTTTTCACCCAGCAAAAGGGGAACCTCCTCGTTTTTCTAAGCCGGCTTCTGAAGTCGAGCAGTTATCATTAATCTCGAGCACTGCACAACACACGCTCTCAATCGATTGCTGTCAGTGGGTTTATGTTTGCCTAGCAATTACCAACGGAAAAACAACAATTACTCCCAGGGGGTACGAAAAGGGGGGCTGAGGGGATCTATGAGGACACTTAGGGCTAACCCACTAAGCCATTGAAATCAGGAACTCGCACAGGTAAATAAGACAGCTTGTTAAAGAAATCACCTATGATCTGGATTTTGCATAAAAAATACGCTGCACTAAACGAATAATTTCTTTATCTTTACTGTCGAATTAAAAAAAAAAAAATGTAAACGTAATTGAACAATTTTTTTAAGATTGTGAACAGATATTCCTATCTTAATAATTAATTAAAAACATCGAAAATATACAAATAATTAAAATACCCTAATAATATTTTATATTTCAAAATATTTATTTAACCAATAGTCCTCACTTATTTAATAATTTATTCCTACTCATTTAATTAATTCTTGAGATGAAAAAAAAAACTTTAATGTTAAACTTACGAAGATAATATTTTTGTTTACCCACAATAAATGTCATTCAAATTAATGAAACATTATTTATTTTGTAATTTTCTTTTAAAATCATTTAATTTGATTGAACAAATATTTATACCATAAAATGGCAATAAATTAACCTATTATGATCATATCTCAGCACTTAAACAGGGAACTTGCTGAGCCATTGGAAAGCAATCAAGAACAAGTAAAGTTGCCCTATCGACTGGACTCGGATTGAGTACTCACCGAACCCATAGCTGCCATGTCCTGTCCCTTCGAAAGTCAATATTTAATCCCAAAGTTAAACTGCGTCCTTACTCGCTGGCCAGTCGAGAAACACTGAAACACTGAACGGAACGCGGCTAATCAGAGTAAAATGGTCGCCGCGATAATGCAACAATTGGCTCCCCACACACACGTCATCGAGGGTCCTTGCGCCCTTCCTTTCCCTTTTCCATTTTCCCTTCCATTTTTATTTGCTTTCTCCTTGCTTTCACACTAGAGAATGTCAAAGTCAATCGTGTGTGGGGGGCGTGGGAAAAAAAACAATTACTTGTCATCAGTAAAAGCTGAGACCGAAATAAGTGGCACTCGAAAATTATTTCCCCGCATTTCGGTTCATTCATTCAACGTGGCGATTTTAAAGTCCTTGAACGCAGCTGCCTAAATGGGTTTTTGGTTTCCAGACTCGCAATGAATTATTTACACGGCAAACAGGTGAATTAGCACAAGTGCGGGCGTGTCCTGGCCAAGTGCAAATATGACAGAAGCACGTAGGTATTGAAAAGCTTTGAATTATTCATAAAACGAGCTATTTTTAAATAAACCGCCAGTATTGTAATTGGCCAATGACAAGCAGCTTGCTGTGAAACTTTGCCTATTTTGTTGTACTTTTCTTGTAATAATTTTATCAACTAAGTGTCAGTACTTAAACAGTTCTAAAAACTCATTTTTAGAATATTATTTTACTTAATCGAATTACCCGCCAAGTTTTTAAAAGTCATACCTTACAAATCTACTCGCTATGAAACTCAGTTTGCCTATATAGTTATCCCTTTCAAAAATTGGTTTATATAGTTGCCCCTTTCTCTCCAACTGCTTCGTCTGAAGCCAAACCAAAGCTGCCGGCTATGAAACCACCTTACACACTATATTTGTCCCTTTCTCGCCTTCACTGCTTGCCCATATGTAAAGCAGTGTACTCCAACGGTTATTTGAATATTTAAAAATAAAAACAACCATTTCGTTTATAATTTGTATTTTGAAATGATTTTCATATAATTTCTGACAAACTTGAACATTTAATTAATTTCATTATTACACATTTATAAATTTCATTTGTTACCATTTTCGTTCGTTCATCGTTTTGTTTGCGTTCTCGGACCGTACAATTTGCTATTTACTTTTATCCTTTTATTTATTTTACTTTTTGTTTGTTTTTTGATATTTCATGTTAACGTTCCTGGCATTTCTGTTCCCACTTATGTTATTCATTAATTTCATTAATTATATATCCGTATAAATGTATGCATATGCAGATTCAGATTCTCCATCCATTGGCTTTACTTGGAATACTGGGATCAAAACGATACAGAGAGTTTGGTTTTTGGATAGCTACAAAATACATAAATACTTTTACAAAAAATAGTTAAATATTATGTAAGCTTTCATTTCGTTTCGTTTCGTTTTTCCCTACGTACATATATATATATTTTAATAAATACTCCCCCTCTTCTGTCCGTTTTGTCATGCGAATTCAATATTTTTTGGTTTGGTTACTCACTGATTTCACTAAACACTTGAATCCTCAGCTTGTCTGCTTTGTTTTTAGCTTTCATTTTAAGTACTATTGTAGTTTTTTTGCTTACGAATTAAGAGTTGTGCTTAAGGTATTTGCGATCGTTTTTATTGTTGCTTTTCTGAATTGATTTTCTGATTTACTATTTCCTTTCTGATTTTTCTGATCTTGGTGAGCGATTCGCATTGGATGTAAATGACTATCAGTAGAATCCTTAGATTAGTTTACGGTTTACGGTTTATGTTCATATGATACGAATGATTGTAGGCAGGTGGTTGGTGGTTTTCACTTGACTTCACTTCGTCCCGACACAAAAAATGCTACCTATCAATAATAACTACGAATTAAAACTAAAGCCCTAGAACTTAAAACTGAACAGCCAAAGAAACTAAACGTAATCCTCCATCATCGTTTTGGATATGCCAGTCAAACTAGCTGAGGCCGGTGGCGATCGTCTGTTGTGGCGCCTCAGAAAGGTTCGCACTTGGCCATCCACTTGGTGCTGCGGATTTGGAAGCGATAGATGCGGATGCTAATGAGGAGGCGGGTGGGGTGAGTAGTGGCCGCTGAATGCGATCCAAGGCCATCTGCCATATTTCCATGCTCTCGTCCGGCTTGATGGCGTGATTTGTGAAGAGGAACGGTGGATCCTCGAGATCTGCCTCCCCGCTGAGCAGCGAGCGTACGTCCTTCTGTTCGAGGTAATATTTCAGCGGTGTAATCTTGCTGCCCGTCTCCTCGGCCAGGATGCCCGTGATGAGGACATCGTCCACCCAAAAGTACTTGGACTTCTGTGCCGCCTCAAACAGCCGACGAACGACGTCCGGGGCGTAGACTATGGCCATTCCGGGACAATACTCCGGGTAGAAGCGATGCGGGTACTCCTTATAGGTCACTCGCCATTTGGACTGGAAGAAAAAAAAATTCCTTTTAATATTAACACTTTAAATAAGTTTTCTGATGTACCAGAGTGTAATAATTTACTCTAAATACTTTCAGATAAGATAACTAATTTATTTCGCCATTGTTATCGCACACTTTACAAATTACTTAAGCTGCCTTAATGATAATTGGTTTTTAATTACCAAATGTATATTTTTTAAAAGGGAATTAAATCCTCACCTTTCTATCTTTCAGTCTACTTATTTTCAAATGTTTTTTTTTTAAGAGAGATTTAAAATATGTCATCATTAATCTATTCAGGAAACAAAACTATGTTCTGTGAATTTAGTTATTATAATCTAGACAAAATGACTTAATTTCCTGTTAGAAACTTGTTCATTATTATGCTGTTTATGGAATTTTATGAATCTAATTATGTTTTTGATAAAATTTTGATAAAAATGAAAAAAAAACTAAATGATTTCTTGAAACTAATGAACTTTAGGGAAGTTGACCAAGCTTCCAGCTATTCATACCCATATGTTCAAAGAATTTTATAAGATTAGGTAGTTTTTTGATAACATTTTCAGAACTATTTCCTGCTATACATATATTTCTACGAATTTACTTCAAGAGAATTTCCTTAAAACATGTGTAAATTATCAAAAAAATTTATGAGATTAGTTAGTTTTTTGATAACATTTTCAGAACAATTTCCTGCTATTCATTTATTCATAAGAATTTACTTCAATCGAATTTCTTTTAAATATGTAAAAATTATTATTCGCTACTAAACTGAAAAAACTAGAGAACGAAAAAAAAGAGCAAATCACCTTGATTTCAAAATTTCTTCTTACTTTTTGAGAATAAGTGTTCTTGAAATTAGGCGTAAAGTTTTCTTGATTTGGTTGATTATGGGTATATACATATGTATATCTTTTAAAACTACCTTTCATCAATAAACTCCACAGTTAAAGGTTTGATAAACAAAACGGAGTCCTAATAACTTCAAAAACTTAAAAGCAAATATTTTCTGTTACTTTACCCAAATATTAAAGAACCACTCACCCTATAAGAGCGCTTCACCCTCGAGTGGCGGACGACCCGGCAGAGCATCAGCTGGGGATCCTGGAGCATCGCGAACTCGGGCAGCGAGGGCGTCGTCAAGTACTTGACCAACTGCGGCGTGTTCATGAACACATCATCATCGACTTTGACCAGCAGCTGGGCCCCCGAACACTTCTCGTTGAACCACTTGAGGGCCATCACATGCTTGTAGGTCATATTCCGATAGGCGTCGTCGAAGTTGCCCTGGATTAGGTCGCCGTTTAGGTGATTCTCGCGTCCCAGGAACTGTTGCCACCTCTCTGCATTTGCGCCCACTCCGCCTACCAGGAAGATGACCTTCAATGGCGTTCCATCGATATACTTTCGATCTGCCCAGGTTTCCCTGATGATCCTCCGCTTCTCCGTGTTCCTCACAGCCGAATGGACCAATATCAACACCCGGACATCCTTATCACAGGCGGGCTGATCTATCAGATAGACAAAGTTATTCAGATCCATCAGTTGCATACTACTCCCATTGGGGGCGGGCGTTTGGCTCCTTATCGCAGGGGGCGTGGCCGCCGAATCGAATGTGTTGCTGCTAACTAGGCTACTATCGCTATTGTTATTGTTACTAAATGTGCGACTAGGTTTGGTTTGGTATGGTTTGCTCCTGCTGCGACGCGATCCACTGTTGGCACTCTGTGTTTGAGAAGGGGGTGATGGGGTGCTACTTCCGGTGATACTACTGCTTCCTCCCCCAAAGTCCGCCATTATTTCCGCCTCCAACATCGGCGACTGCTGCACACTGACCAGCCAAATGACCAGGCACAGATTGATGCAGATGAGCAGCAGGCACAGCGATCGCTTGTCCATTTCTAGCGGCTTTTAATTTCCTCAAACGGACACCTCAGACGGAAGCGTTTTCTGCGTGCCGCGGCCATTTAACTCCGGATCCAAGTGGCTGTAATGGGTAAAAGTAAAGAAAATCAGTTAATAATCGTTCAGTGAATGCACAGAAAAAATTGGATATGATATAATAAATTAATTAAGCCTTTTTTTAATAAAAATAATGTCAAATAATATAAAATAATATCAATATTATCTTTAATTTTAAACTTTATTGTATTTATATTAATCTTGATATAGTCATATCAAAATAATCTTCAAAAACTATTAAATTGACCTGCACATATCGGCCTGATCTTTTGTCAGCTTTTTTCTGTGTGGCCACTTAAAAGCCCACTTCCCACCTTCCCTTCCTAGCTTATCGCCAATGCGATAATGACCCGGGGCATTAGGCCAATTGGCTGTGTGGCAGCATGACATGTGGTCAATTTTCTAAATGGCCAGCAGCAGGTGTCAACAGGTCGCACATGAATTAATTGAAGAGCATTCACTCCTCTCTCTATCTCTACGTTCTATTTTTTAGACCGAAAGTTCACTGAACTGACGTCACTTAATCCATTCGAGTAAAATGCCAATATAACGCACCTGCCATAATTCATTCACGGCTATGAAGAGAAGAGAAGTGCAAACACACCTGATGGATTCCCGGGGACTTCCAAAATTGAACTGAATCCTCGCGACGGAATCAATCGCCACCCCGCCACTAATCGAAAATGAAAAATGCTCCAAAGATAAGTTGAAATTATTGATTTATTGGCCACACTTTTGATTGCTTTGTCAACAGCGATAAAGGCGATTCCTCGAATTTGAGGCACAACTTTTTGTGAATTATACTAAATGACAACGGAATCGATGACGTTCAGTTTGGGGCTATGAAACTGAAACCTTATCGAAATGCCGAAATCGACTCTTTAATCGTTATGGTAGTGCAAACATATTAATTGGCCGTACTATAAAAGCCGGTGGCTACTTGGGCTCACTCATTTTCAGATAGTTAAACTGTTTCGCTATCAGACGATGATAGCTGTTACGTATCAATGAAGTGGCGGAATGTTTTTTACTACACTAGTTGCGCTTATCAAACGACGCGAACAGAAAATGTAATTGCCCAATTATGGGACTTTAAGTAACAACAAAAAATAAATATAGCCACTTCTTAATGAGTCAGTCTATAAGAAAGAGCAAATGGAATTTTTCGGTAGACTTTTGGGTTAGGACTTTATAGAAATTTATTAAAAGGTTATTATACAATTTTAGCTTATATATCACATTAAATAATTTCTAAATATTTAATTGCACGAGTTTTAAAATTATTTTTAATTGAAACTGTTTATTTAACAACATTAATTGACAGTTTAACGATAGTTTTGTAATTTAATCATTCCTTACGATTTATAATGATGCAATTAAGCTTATCTTATCGGGTAACCCCTATCTGAAATAAGCGATAAATAAGACATTTATTTTTAAACTTTGATTATATTTTGCACTCAAAACGGCTTTCAAAGCACTTGAATCAGATTTTGATTGAAGGTCATAAAACAAATTAAACCAATAATAAAACGATTAGGATATCAAACATAGCTGATTAGATAGGTTAACGACCCACCAAAATTTGGAAGTCCTATGTTCAATTCTCAGTGCAAAAATTAAAAAAAAGATTTAACTAACCATTACATTGAGTTCACAAAAATATTTAACCTAATGTGTAATTAAAAAAAAGAATAGGAAAATCTGTATATAAAAATATTAAATTAATTAATATTTATTGTTGTTTATTGTACTTTTCAAAAGATTTCTTATAATTTCAATTTCATTCCATTCTCTTTGTTTTTTCCTCTTTGGTATAAATATATTTTGGATATTTTCGAAGGCAACCGGAAGACGCACTCATGCACATTTCCGCAGATAGTGCGCCACAAAAAAGGAACAATAGACTGCAGTCTTCACCAGTCACGTATTCCAATAAAGTGTGCACACGAGTTGCAGTATAATTGAAATACAATGTACCCGTTGACTCCGTGGAATATCGAAACAACAGTCTATCTAACCGCAAAGGCTTAGCTACACTCAGCTGATTATCGGGTGTTTGAAAAACACTCCCAAGGGACTTGATTAAACAACGTCTGGAAACGGAGGTTTTCGATTAGATTGCCAGCGCGTTTTTTTGTCGATAAGATTAGTCCCCTAATGACAGATGGGTTGTGCCCCAAAATTCCGCCCTGTTTTTCATGTGCATAAAGTTAGCAATGCAACTTTTGAAAATGCAAATTTTTTTCTATCGACAATTTGCCGTTATTTATCCGTAAATTATTCGTGAAAGAAAAAAATTTGCCGCTCAATTATTTTTAAAATTATGAGATGTTCTGCTAAGTTGATATCAACTTAGCAGAACACCTAAAGTTCAAAATTTCCAAAATCTTTTCTAATGGGAATTTGCCGTTATTTATCCGTAAATGATTTGCGAAAGAAAAAATTTAGTTGCTCTTGTTTTAACCTTTTTTTTTAAAAACATAGTTGTTCTGCTAAGTTGATATCAACTTAGCAGAACACCCCACTAAAGTTCAAAATTTCCAAAATCTTTTCTAATGGGAATTTGCCGTTATTTATCCGTAAACGATTCGCGAAGGAAAAATGTTGTTGCTCCTGTTTTAACATTTTTTTTAAAAAACATAGTTGTTCTGCTAAGTTGATATCAACTTAGCAGAACAACTATGTGTTTTAAAAAAAAATGTTAAAACAAGAGCAACAAAATTTTTCTTTCGCGAATCATTTACGGATAAATAACGGCAAATTCCCATTAGAAAAGATTTTGGAAATTTTGAACTTTAGTGGGGGTGTGTGTTTTAAAAAAAAAAATGTTAAAACAAGAGCAACAAAATTTTTTCTTTCGCGAATCATTTACGGATAAATAACGGCAAATTCCCATTAGAAAAGATTTTGGAAATTTTGAACTTTAGTGGGGGTGTTCTGCTAAGTTGATATCAACTTAGCAGAACAACTATGTTTTTTAAAAAAAAAGGTTAAAACAAGAGCAACTAAATTTTTTCTTTCGCAAATCATTTACGGATAAATAACGGCAAATTCCCATTAGAAAAGATTTTGGAAATTTTGAACTTTAGTGGGGGTGTTCTGCTAAGTTGATATCAACTTAGCAGAACAACTATGTTTTTTTAAAAAAAAATGTTAAAACAAGAGCAACAAAATTTTTTCTTTCGCGAATCGTTTACGGATAAATAACGGCAAATTCCCATTAGAAAAGATTTTGGAAATTTTGAACTTTAGTGGGGTGTTCTGCTAAGTTGATATCAACTTAGCAGAACAACTATGTTTTTTAAAAAAAAATGTTAAAACAAGAGCAACAAAATTTTTTCTTTCGCGAATCATTTACGGATAAATAACGGCAAATTCCCATTAGAAAAGATTTTGGAAATTTTGAACTTTAGTGGGGGTGTTCTGCTAAGTTGATATCAACTTAGCAGAACATCTCATAATTTTAAAAATAATTGAGCGGCAAATTTTTTTCTTTCACGAATAATTTACGGATAAATAACGGCAAATTGTCGATAGAAAAAAATTTGCATTTTCAAAAGTTGCATTGCTAACTTTATGCACATCTGTTTTTCAATTATTTCTCATATTTAACTTTATGCGATCGAAAAGCGTCACAAGTTTGAGGTTCCGGCCTCGTTGAGCACGCGAAACGTTATAAAATTTTTATATTCATGTAAATTTTTCGCCCAGAGTCAATAGTTAGTTCTCTGTAGACATGGTTAATATAGAACAGAAAAAAGTAGAGAGCTGTACTAGTTGGTTTATTAATGGTTTTCGGATGGTAGCACGCAATATTAGGTTGGCATGTCCTTAGACTTTTAGGCCAATTGGAAGGGTGTTTTAGGGTTTGGAGCTCAACAGCCGGATGCGACGGCCTCAAGATATGCAAAAACTAATTACAACTGAACCTTTGACCTTTGCCAGCTGTTTGGTGTAGCAAGCAACCAACCTGGCCAAAAACGAACTGCAATTTACAAGGCCAGTTCTGCAAAATGCAAAACGAAGTTTCGCTGCAGTTGCAGTGACTTCGAGGGTGGTTTCAACATAAATTGACTGCCAACAGTCACGACATTTAGCTTGTTGGCTCTTAGCTATTAAAATAAAAGTGGAAAAATGTGTTCTCTTTTTTCTATAACATTTTCTAATCCAAAAATATTAAATATTTATTTGAAATGCTTTTTCCTGTAAATTACTCTAAATGATACAGCATTTTATCATTTATCTTATATGCACAATTAAGTCCAACAAGCAATCGATTTTTGTATGCACGCCACACTGACCTTTTAGTGTGCAATTAATAACAGAGATAATTATCTGATGGTCACCCCTTTGAGGAAAAGTCATCTTCATAAATTAACTGAGGGACCTGCATACCGTGACATATGATACGAATTCAATTAGGAAATTGTTTTACTGACCTTTGAACTTATGTACGTATAAAGCTACTTTGTTCGATGTGGACGATAAAGAAAAAAGCGATCTTTAATGAAGATTATAGATTTCTTTTCTTGGGAAATTGCTTTAATGACCCTTGAACTTACGTATACAACTTTGTACTGATAAAAAAAACCAGATGGTTAAAAAATATTTATTACTTCGATGATTCACTGTAAAATTAAGATGGATTTTTCCCAAAAGTGATATGATTCTAGCATACATTTTAAAATACTTTTTTTTTACTTTTTGTAGTTTGTTATATGGATTTTTACACAAACCTATTGAATACAAACATTGTAAAATTCTAACCTTGAGAACTCAATTAGGAAATTGCTCTAGTGACCTTTGAACTTACATAAAATATTTATTACAAACATTGTAAAATTCTTATCTTATACTCTCCCCTATGATTGCCTAGCCAAAGTTTATAAAGCTTATAAAATGCAACTCCCCTTTGTTCAAACACATTTCTCACGTACAATCCTCACCTTTGTTGCCATTAAAGTAATCATCACACACCTCTCGTGAACTTTACAAAAATAAGCCTAGACTCCGGTGTTTTTTTTGCATAGAAGGGGATGGGTTTGTGGGACGTCTGCCAAAGGCTGGCATTTTGCAGTCGATAAAATGCCAGCAGCAACGCCGAATAACTTTTTCAAGTCGAAGGTTACATTTTATCGTGGTCTGTGGTCTGAATGGGCAACAAAAAAACAACATCAGCAGCAGCAACGACAATAGATTCGCCTGCATTTTGAGGGCAGGCGTCGTCTTCTATTGTTTATCTGGTATCGTATCGTATCGGGCTTTTGATTAGTTACCAACCAAACGACCGACGAAGGATTGTTTTTCATTGAATGGCAAATGGCAGCAGGTTGGCACTGCGAAAACTTGGCTGCTGGCCAAAAAACACTTTGAATGTCTGTGTCAGGTTATCCCTCACTTGTGTACAATGCTACTTTCACGTGCAGTAGCGTATCTTGTGCCTTGTGCCTCGTGGCAATTGCCATCAATCGGGAGTACAATATTTATATATACAACAATATAGTGAACTAATAAATAAACACAATACGAGGGCCACTCGCAGCAATAATATCCATTATTCCGACTCATTACAAGGCGAGCACTCAGACTCGACTGGTAATTAGCGAAAAATCAACTTTA